TACTATGGCAGACGACTTCGGACTAGGTGCGTCCTACTAAGTCGCCCTGACAACAAGACCAAGTTGCGACAATGATGTCAACCCACTTTTATAAATTGAAAGGAGACTATGACCATATCAGAGGCCACAACATCTTGGTCTTCATATATTCAATTTTTACTTACAATTTTCTGTTCTGTTGTTTCAACTCACTTTCTCGGGTCCCTCACGCATAATAATCTGGTGGACCTGAGACCGAATGCCAAGATAAAGGCTATGTCAATTCTTTAAAGAGGCCCTTTATATTGAGAATGTCTTCAGATTTACTTAGTTATAAGGCAGAAGATATGCTATGTGAAGAAGTATTGAGTGCACACAGGAGAGGATGAGAATGGGAAACTAGGAAGGCGGCTGCGAAGTGTAGAAACACAAAAGAGGTGCAACGATTCGATGCTGCCTTAAAACGTAGTATTGGGGTGCTGTGTTGATTCGCAATGTATCATGGCAAAATTATCTTGGTTGCTGCCTAGTAGATTGTTTCTCTGAAGACCAAACGTCATGATTTTTCACTAGTGGTCCATCAAGGCAAGCCTTTGTATAAGTTTGAGCATTTGGTGCTGAGGTAGAGGACAATGAGCGATTCGGCCAGGACTTCTTCCTAGCAAATACTTTGTAAGATATAAAGGTTCGTTTTGATTGGTATCTAACTGTTGATTTTGGTTTTGTATTGGAGGTCGAAGTCTTATAGGCGGGCTTGTGCCCGCCTATTCAAACGAAATTATGGTTACGCTAATCTCAAGTGATAATGCATTTGATCAAGGGTCAAAAACGGGCTTCAAACCTGCTCATTTAGACTGAATGTATGGATCAATGAAAGAAAAGAGATACTGGTGAGGGAGTGTTAGCCGCGTGAAATAGTACATTCGGGCTCAATTGATTTTTCGTAAAAATCTAGTTTGGGGATATGGTAACAATTAGGTGCAAACAAAAGGGTGGTGGTAATAAGTTCAGGGTCGCGTAATAGGGCTAAATTGTTGTAGGGGAGAGGCAAGTCTTTCGACCATACGATTTTCTGGATATATGTTCAAGAACTTTCGCCAGTACATATTTACGTGTATTGTATTGGTTTTGACTAATACTAATTTAAGAGTTATCAAAAATGGCAAATTTCCCCATTTATGGATACGAATATAATGTCTAAGGTCGCTAGATACACACCCTCTTCATTATTCACTACATGTTAATATTCCTTATCACTATAATGGTCATATCCTCTATAAACATTTCAAATTGCCAACGTTAGGTTTCGGATACATTTCCCTTCGTGGTGTCATCAGGTCTATTGGTGCCACCACTGTTAATCTACAATGAATAAAACATTTCATTAGATTTAAATCCTCAGACGTTTCAAAGATGGTTTGGCCCAACCTTCATTTATAAATAGGATGTTTCTACCAACTATCCCTTCGGAATCGTCTTGATCCTTCGACTGGCCGTAATAATGACATATTGCTCGGATGTCCGTCATGTTCCAGATGACAGCTTAGCACATTTTTACCAAAATCGAAGGAGATCATCTCGGGGATGGCATCAGTCATAATGTCCCAGTAAAACCCATCGGCAGTTAGCCAACAAGTATCCACCATCTTTTCCTGATGTGATCGACCTTCGAATGTCTTCTTTACACTTCAAATGGAAATGAGCTCACTAATTGTAAATGGAGATATCTCTCGAAGCCCAATTTTTGTTCACATAACTACCACTTTACCTACCATGATCTATCGCATATATTAAACTCACCTCCCGCATCACAAATCAGATCATTAATCCGAAACTAATCACAAGATGAGTTTCAAATCACGCAAAATAGCAAGTACTTTTAGCCGCTCGTTGACTTCACTTTTTCCGAAGGTGATTGATGCGCCGTTTCTATGAGCTCATCCTGTGCTCAACTTTTAGGCTATTTTTTGTGCAAATTCCGGAAGTTTTGCTCCGAGAATCAGGAAGTCAACGCTGCAGCGTCGTAATCATATCAGGCCAGTTCCTATGACTGCTTCTTCAAGACGTTCACTACCGAGCTGCTTTTTTTCGCTGCTCCTTAGAGCTGGACTTCTATTATTACTACTTTGATTGGATCATAAGGATCACCAGCGTCTTAGCCAAAATAAGTCTTTCAAGCTTATCGCTAAAAGGCATCTATGTGACTATCTGCACGGAAACAGCAAAACGATTATTTTTCCCGTGGCATCATGTCAACGCAGAAATACCACTTTTAGTCTCTACGCAAACTTACAATAAACACGATACTTTAAGGTTGCTGCACTACACGTACCTAACTATGTACATTTTTTTTAGTTTATGCAGCTTAATCATTTCGGATTTCACACTTTTACATTTTATCCTGTCATTTGTTCCAAGGTTTTCATGTAAGCCAGACCACAATATGTTCTTCCCGTCTGTCGATTCTTCTCCTTAGATGTGGGCATAGGCCAGCGAAGCCCACGAGACACCTTGGGATTTTCGGCCAATCTAATATATTTGAGTATTACTCTTTATATAATTGATAGTTTTTAAATTGTATATTTTGCAATTAATTAGCCTATTTACATCCATACCGATTAGTTCTTCAGTTTTCTGCTGACGTATTCATATTTGTATAAAGTCACAATATCTATTAATGAGCATATTCATTCAACTATTTTGTATTTTATCCTTAGAACCTTCGGACCCCTGGAGTGCTTACCTTCCTTCTGTTTACCTGCTATATATTGAATGGTATTTTCGAAATGATCGGTCTTTCATACTGCTCGAGCTTCGTGTTGCTACCTTTCTGGGTGGCTCTTCTTTCATTGCTTACCTGGATCTATGCTAGCTACAGTGGTCAGATGCCCGCGATCGTGCAGGTGATCGACGCTGGTGCCGAGGCCGTTGCTGACCAGGTGGGACTTACATTTCTCATTAGTTTTAAAATTTCTCCTCCATTTCTTTCTTAAACCAGATCTTTGCGTTTTCTGGCTTAAAAATAAAAATAGTATCATCGCTTGAATTAACTTTGGTCTCGAGCTTTCCACCAAAACAATTTTACTCCATGATTTGATATGCTATCGCCTAATATTTTCTTTCATACATACTTCACTTAACTCTGAGCGCAACTGATTCTATATACGTCTCCCCTAATGCGACCACTTTTTACAACG